TAGCTTTCACATGTGTAGAGTAAGCACAGTATTTCATGCCTTACACGGTTGTTGATAAGGCCTTCATGAGGAGCAAGAACAAAGTACTGTGGAAGCATGGTCTTTGGTACACATTGTAGCCCTTACCACATTGTTCTGGGACAGTCTCTTTACTATTAGTAAATAGTCACCTCAATTATACCAGAAGTTCCTTGGGACTTGTTTGCCTCTGCATTGTCTTTGCCTCTAAGCACAGTGCTTAGAACATCATGCTTGGCCATTCCTTCTTTTAACAAACATTTATTATGCTTCTAGCCAACAACTCTTTATTTTTTAAGATTCTATTTATTTATTTATCTATTTATTTATTTTTACAGAGAAGGAAAGGGATGGAGAAAGAGAGGGAGAGAAACATCGATGAGAGAGAGAAACATTGCTTGGTTGCCTCTCATATGTGTCCCAACCAGGAACTGGACCCGAAACCCAGGCATGTGCTTCAAATGGCAACCTTTTGCTTTGTAGGATGACTCTCAATCCACGGAGCCATACTGGCCAGGGCCCAGCCAACAACTCTTCACAGCCATATTCTGCCCTCCAAATCTCCTTGCCTTTCCAGCACTTAAGCCCCAGGGTGGTCATACAAGGACCCTGTGGTAGACACAGGGATATACCCTCCAGGCTTCTGAGGACCGAGTGCTGCTGCAGACAGTCCTCTTTGGGGATTGTCCAGCCACCTGCTCAGAAGAAACTGCCTCCCCCAAGGCCATGCACACTCCCTGGGGGAAGCCTGCATCTAGTGACTTGTCCATATGGGGTATAAATGTCTGGTCTTCTCATCGTAACTCAGAACAACTGTGAAGGGCCAACCTAGCTCCAGAGTTCTTCATGGGTCAGCTGAGGCGAGGCATTAAGATGGTGTCCCAGCCCAGCTTCTCCCTCAAACAGTCCTGCCTACTTGTCTTAGACCTCAGCTGTTGATCCCAAAGGCACCTCAATCAACTTGGCACAAGAAACCTGCAACAGCTCCTCCAGTGGCAATCCCCAGACTGGTTTTGTGGCCTGTGTAGGCTCTGACTCAGCATCAGGGAAGCCTCCATTCCAAATAATCCCAGGAACTGGGACAGTCCCCAAGGCCCAGTCGCTGTGCCACTGTGCACAGGCATCACTCACAGTTCTCTCTCTCTCTCCCTCTCTCCCTCTCTCCCTCTCTCTCTCTCTCTCTCTCTCTCTCTCTCTCTCTCTCATTTTTCTTATCAAATGCACTTGGAACCACTACTGTGAAACATAAAGGCTTAAAAGCAAATAATTATAGCAATGGGAAAGACAATACAATAGAGAAAAAATGAACCTCATGTTCAGCTGAAGGAAAGCTTTGTAGAGGAGGGGGCCTTTACACTGAGTCTCAAAGGATCAGTTGGGGTTTGATGCGTGGACAAGGGATGTGAAGTAACATTGCACAGAGAGAGTACAGCATACTCAAAAGCTGTCAGGCCTAAAAGGGCTCAGGGTATGGGAAAAAGGGGAGGAAGGAACAATGAAGCCTGGGGCACTAGTAGGGGCAGATCATGCAGAGCCTTATAGGCCACTTTGAGGAACTTGATGCTGAACCAAAACCATGTTCCAGCGTTGCCTAAGCTTCAGCCATTTAGGTACCACTTCCACAGGTTTTGCCCTATTTGGGTCCCACTGGTTCTATTTACTATTCACTTTTTCCTGAAATAAAAATTTTTTTCTTACATAAATTTATAGTAAAATAAATTTTATATGGCAACAAAAACCAAAGCAAAAGGAGTGTCATTTGCCAGAAATAGAAAGTAATTGTAAAAATAAATACAAAGGAAACAGAACAGAGTAATTAAATTCTATGTAGATATCCCTGTCTGTCAATGTCTTTGAGCCTGAGGCCTGCTCTAGCTCTGTTCCAAAGGATTAGCAAACATTACAGAGGTTGAAGAATAGCACCATGCTGAGACTTTCTCCTTGATGTAATCAGAAAGCTGGAAGGAGAAGGAGGCGAGAATCATTTTCTCACCATGTAATTCAATGTTCTTTAAAGCTGTACCATGTACCATTAGGATCACCTTGGAGTTCCCCTCCCTACCACCCCGCTGACTGTGAAAGCAGTTGGTAAACAATAAAGTGCCCTACAAATGTGCTTGTTATTACCACTGTATTGTTTGGTCCATTGGCTCAAGGGCAGTCACTTCCACATAGCTGTCCCTTCTTTGGCTCAGCAAGAGTTTCCAAACCAGTGCCTGTGGCGATCATCATGCCCCACATTGTGTGAGAGAAAGCAATAAGGGTGGGCTGGGGGGTGGCAGAACCGTGGGAATCCCAGGCTCTTAGAACTGCAAGGGCCCTCACAGAGTATCCTATCTTCCCACTTTACAGCTGGGGAAACTGGGACCACAGGAGGGAAATGATTTATCCAAGGCCACAGAGGGTGTTAGCATTAGCAGTCCAGGTGACACACAGAGGGAAAAAATAGTATAGCTTATTGTTTGAGGCCTCTGGTTCCAGTAGTTGCCATCTGTGAGACAGAAGAGAATAGAATATAGGAGCAGAGGTGGGGAGAAGTGAGTCCATCAGGATTGAGAGCACAGGGGCACTCTCCAAAAATCAACCTTCTAGGCTGGGCTCCTCAACTAGGTGCACAGGTTGAGGTGGGCCTGGAGCCTGGGTGGTGGGAAGTGAGGAAAGAGCCTTCAAGGGGCTGAAGTGTTTGTGAAAGATATCCAAAGAACTGAGGTAGGCCAGATCAACAGAACTGATCCAAAGGGCAGTACCAACTCAGCCAGGACATCCTGGGACTGTGCAAAGCAACATGAGTGTGAGATTTGCCACATCTGGGTTCAATCCTGGTTCTCTCACTTTATAGCTGTGCATGCCTCTGGGTAAGTCACTGAACTGCTCTGCACCCCAGTCTCCTCACGGGAGTATGACGTGGGTAATAATAGTACCCACCTCATGGGATTGTTGTGAAGATCACAAGAAGCAGTATATGCAAAGTTTCACATACAGGGCTTTTTACTGTACTTATTGTTACTTCCTCCCACCGACTAGACCTCTGCCAATACATTTTCTCCTCTTCTACCCACCCCCACCGCCAGCCCAGATTCACAGCCAGCACTTCCCAGCCCTGAGCTCTGTCCTATTCTTGGGCTCACCTGGCTGTCCCACTTATCTGGCTATGTGGTTCATAAGGAGGCTTTCAGGTATTTGCAGATAAGAAAGCTTGAGGGGGCATGTTGCAGGGGGTGGGATGGGGTCCTCCTTCGCCTAGAGACAGAGGGCAGGCCAAGCAGCTGGCACCATCCTGCTGGAGAGAGAGGCCAGCTTTGGCCTGGGAGAGAACAAACAAAAGGCTCAGGTCTCCTGTGGCGTTAGAAGGCAGTGCCTGAAGCAAGTCCCTTCATTAAAAGCTAGCAGGCAGAAGGTTAAATATAGCCCTTTCCAGTTGTCTAGGACATATATTTGTAAAATGTCAGAGCTGTGTTAGAGTGAGAGAAGATCTTGTCTGTGCTCTGTCTTTATAGAGTAGGAAGGAAGTGATAAAGGAGAGAAAGAAACCTTGACTTTCACCAGTGAGTAGTAGGCAGCCATTGGAGGGTTTTGAGCTGATGGGTCTGTTTTTTAAAGTCTTGCTTTGGCTGAAGAATGCAGAATGGGCTCGAGAGGGGCCAGAGTGGGAGCAGGGAGCCCAATCATAGGGAGAGTGATGGGTGTACCAGGTCAGGGTGCTAGCTGTGGACATAGAAGGAGGAAATCAACTCAAGGTGGGCCAGGCCTGCATCCCAGGTGAAGGCGGCACCTCCTCCCTCTCTTGCCCCAGTCTTTTGAAGGACTTGCCCCATGAGTTAAAAAAAAACAACCAAAAACCACAACCTGCCTAAAGACAGCCAGACTCCTCACTCCCTTTCAAGGCACCCCTTGGCAAGTCTTTTAGGAAGTTTCTTCTTGTCCATAGGCCCCAGCTCTGCTGCCTGAACCCCCTTCAGACCCCATCTACTCCCTTCATCCTGTGACAGCCCCTCAAAGACTAGAACACCAAAGACCACATTTCTCTGATCCTTCTCTGTGCTAAACAGCACGTGGTCCTCACAGTATTTAATTCTCAGTCCCATCGCTCTGGTTTTCAACTACTAAGCTCCTAAACTCCTTTTGAGCCTACTCCTGCCGCAATGGATCAACCAGAACTCCAGAGACATGGCATGGACTCATGGTCTGTCTTACTAGCTACCTCTGCAGCCTTAACTGTAGTTTCTAATACATTTTCTGGGGCATGCAACTGCAGTGTCCTCCCCCTACTCCTGCTATCACCTTCACATGAGCCAGAGAGGGGTCCTGGTGTGGCCAGGGACCCTAAACTTGATTGTACCCTACTGTCAGCAGGTCTGGATTGAACTTCATTACAAGGTACTTGGTCCTTTGATAAAAACCTGTGCGGACAGATGACCAGTGATAGGCACCTCTTCCCTGCTCCTCCCTGCCTCCATGCTTCAGTATTTCAAAAACAAAAACAAAAACAAAAACAAAAACTGAAACCCCCAGAATTTTAGCAGGAGTCTAGGAGGTACGTAAACACTAAGAGTGGCAGACGGTATTTTCCACCATCCATACAACAAGACCTTAGAAGGCATGGTAAGTCAATTTATCAAAAATAATAGATATAGTATTTCTTACACACACACACACACACACACACACACACACACACACGCTCCCTCATTCACTTTTATCATCCCTAGAATCCCAGCTTATCAGGGTTTGGATGTGATCACATCCACACATTCCTCCCCCAGAGCCACCCAATTTTGAATTCTTTTCATAGCTTCTGCCAAGTAGCCAGCCTGCCCTGCTTTGCATACCTCTAGTACTCGGGTACCTGTCCCCCCGCAAAGTGGTCCAAATTGCCTCAGGAAAACTCTGAGTGCAGAAAACACATCCTCCTCCTCAACAGACCCCAATTCCTTTCCTTCTCCTCTCTGCTGAGCAAGCAACCCTGTTCCCCGAAGACTCACCTCCCAGGCTCCAGAAGAGGGTCATAGACTCAGCTCTTTCCATCCTAATGGTGTGGATGGCCAAGACTCCACATTTAGTAAATTTTCATGCAAGAGAAAAACGTGTGGTGGGCCCACACTGGGGGCAGGGAGCCGATGGGCTCCACGTTGTTCTGGACACCTTCCCCAGGCCCCTCAGTGGACGCCCAGGCAGTCTTCCTGATGCCTGTTTCCCAGCGTCCTGTCTGGGTCAGTTTGGCCCCACTGGTCACATGCTCCGTTGCCCTGCAAAGTTGTTCCTGGGCTGCCCAGGCAAAGTGAGGCAGGATTCAAAAAGTGAGTTTCCTCTCTTTCCTTTCACACTTATTTCCGCCCCCACCGCCTGCCTGCAGCCACACAGGTCCAGTGGGTCCCGTCACAGCAGACCAGTGAGGGGAGCTGTTTGAGTTGGTCTGGTCTCTCTCTGGGTAATGTTCTCAGCCAGAGGCCCAAGTCAGATCCCACAGAGGGCTGACCTCCCGCCCTACTGCTGTCCTGTAGCAACGGGAAATGAGCAGGAACTGGCTGTCTGAGTCAGCGCCCCTGGTCTATTGTCACTGCACGGGCCCCTTCCTTCCCAGTGGAGAGACGTGCACAGAGATAGGCCTTGTTTTTCACAAGTCTCTCTTGCATATACACACTTTCTCTCTTGGTCTGGAATGACTCGGTGCACTATGGCTGGATGCAATTCAATTCGGTTTCCCCAACTCCTAGCAAGTACTTACTGTAGCAGAGGTCATGCCTACCCTACACAGAAGTCATTTCTCAGCATCCTTGCCACAGATCGAGGAGCTAACAATGACAGTAACAAGGGAGAAAACTGAGTCTCGGAAAGGGAAATGGTTTCCCTGGGTCCAACACCACAAGAATAGTGATATTTGGAACCCAGCCTAGCTTGCCTGCCCACCTTCCTCACTGGTTCTCCCACCTTCACCCACCAGCATATTACAGATTTTAGGAAAGCCAATTTCTTAGGGCACAAAGCATTAAAGAATTGTTCGCTTTAAAACATTTATAACATACCTTGTTCAAATTCGTTTCTGTGTGTTTAGAAGGTCAAGGGCCCAGGAAACAAGTCACATGTACCAGAAGCTCCTTACAAAGGGACTCCATGACCATACTGGCAAAATGAGTGCAGCCTGAAGGGCTGTGCCTTGTCCCAGTGACCATCTTCTAACTGGAAGAGAGGCATGGTGGGTTCTTGCTCACACAGTAAAAAAGAGCCCTACTGAAGGTTTATTCTCTTTCCCATTCACTCCCCGCGCAGAGATGCTGAGAGACAAGGAAATGGCTTGAGGGAAGGAGTTGGGAACCGCCCCTAGAGGAGCCACCCTATTGCCTCGAGGGTTCTGCACACCTCCAGTGCTGACCAGACTCAACTCCGTGAGGGCAGGGCAGGGTTGTGGGTCTCTGGAAGCCCCATCTTCACAACAGACTTGTATGGCTTCATAGAAAAAGCATTCTAAAGACTGAGGTGAAATTTCCAGACAAGGAGATTGCGTGGTGGTGCGAGAGGGGCGGTTTCTAAGATCAGTGCCCAGTTGACATCATCAACTGCATTCAAGACTTTAAGTAGGCTGAGGCCCAAGAAGTGAATGTTCTCTGTGGCAATATTGAGAGGTTAACCTTAGCTAGGTCAGCTTCCCAGACACCAGACCTGCTTTCCAGAAGCCAGACCACAGCAGGTTAAGAAGGGAAATGGGAGGGGAGTGGAGATACCTCTCAGGAAATCTGGCTGTGGTTACAGAGGAAGGAGATAAGAGCCATGGCTGGAGGCACAGGCAGAGCTGTAACTAGGAGTTCGCTGTTGTCAGGATGGGGCTGATGCTATGTGTTTTTAAGTGGAGGAGCTGCTGCTCACCGTACCTTCCATACACCCTGCTGGCTGGATTTCATCTCAGACCAATTAAGCCAGAATTTCTCAGAAGCGGGATCCAGACATTGACAGTGTTGTAAATCTCCCCAGGTTGAGAGCCACGACACTAATTCTTGTTAGAGACTGAAGCCCAGTCTTAGCCCAGCTGGTAGATGGAGGGCAAAGGTGGCCCAACTGTCTTAGCTTCTTCACGTTTGCAGGTCAGCACAATGGCAAAGACAGACTTGGTGACCCTAGTGTCTGGTCTCACCTGTGTACTCATGGGCAAGTGGCTTAAACTCTCTGAACCTCAGGTTCTAATCTATAGATTAATTGCATTATTTACAATTTCTCTTCTATGTATGACCTTTAGTAGATAATAAAAGTACCTATACCATAAAGTTGTGTAGATCAAGTGAGTAAATAATATCTGCAAAGTGCTCAGAGTGCTGCCTAGCTTGATATGAGCTGTGCTGGGACTGGCCTGTGTCTTCTAGTGGCCCTTCTACTGGACCTCTGGCTAATGCCCAGGAGGACTTCCTTTCAAAACTGTTGGTGGTCCTAACAACTGCTGGTGAGGATGTGGAGAAAAGGGAACCTTCATGCACTGTGGGAATGCAGATTGGTGCAGCCATTGTGGAAAATGGTGTGGAATTTCCTTAAAAAATTAAAGATGGAACTGCCGTATGACCCAGCATATCCACTTACAGGTATTTATCCAAAAAAATCTAAAACGCTGGTTCAAAAGATATATACACCCTTATATTCACTGCAGCATTATTTACAATAGCTAAGATTTAGAAGCCACCTAAGTACCCACCAGTAGATGAGTGGATAAAACAACTATGGGACATTTACACAATGGAATACTACTTGGTCATTAAAAGAAGGAGATCTGACCTTCTGCGACAGCATGGATGGACCTTGAGAACATTATGCTAAGTGAAATAAGTCAGTCAGAGAAAGACAAATATCAATGATTTCACTCATATGTGGAATCCAAAGAACAAAATAAACAAACAAAATGGAAACAGACTCATAGGTACAGAGAATACACTGGTCATTGCCGCATTGGAGGGGGTAACGGGGGATGGGTGGAAAAGGTCAAGGAATTAAGAAGTACAAATTGGTAGTTTCAGAATAGTCACAGTGATATAAAGTATAGCACAAGGGATACAGTCACTAATATTGTAATAATTGTATGGCACCAGATGTGTACTAAACTTATTGCAGGGCTCACTTTGTAAGTTATATAAATGTCTATCTACTATGGTGTACACCTGAAACTAATATAAAATAATACTGAATGTTAACTATAATTGAAAACTTAAAAATGATTATAATATACCAGTAAATTAACAACCAGGATAAATTAGTGTAAGTACAATTTACTCTCAATAATATAAGTATGCAAACACTCTACTGGAAAGAATCATATCACACTTTTTTCCTAAAAGAACCCACCTGATTTTATTTTATTTATTTTTTTTAGAGACAGGGGAAGGGAGGAGAAAGAGAAGGAGAGAAACATCAATGTGTGTGAGAAGGATCAGTTTGAGAGAGAAACATCAATTGGTTATCTTTTGTACATGCTCCAACTGGGGACTAAAACCACAACCCAGGGAATCAAACTGGCGACCTTTTGGCTTGGGAGACCATACCCAACCAACTGAGCCACGCCAGTCAGGGCAATGTATCACACTTTGATCAGAGTCTAAGGATTTACCTTAGGAAAATACCCAGAGAAGGGTAAAGTGGGCTATATTTTAAAAAACAAAAAACACTGTTGGTCCTGCCATTGACTTGGTCTCCCATCAGCCATCAACTGTGGTCTGACAGGCCTGAGTCTATCATCACTTCAAAAGCCACTTCTCACCTGGGTCCCTGTGGGCTGAAGCTGGCTGCTGTTGCTGTGATAGGAACTGTCATTGTGTATGTCCAGAGCTACAATGCTTGGGATGGAAAGACTTGAATTAGAGTCTCAGCCAAATCTTGACCTGTGCAGTTCAGTGGGTTGGGCTTTGTCCTGTAAACGGAGGGGTCGTCGGTTCCATTCCTGGTTGAGGCACGTGCCTGGGTCCCATCACATTGCATGTCGATGTTTCTCTCCCTCTCTTTCTCCCTCCCTTCTCCTCTCTCTATAAATATAAATAAATAAATAAATTAAATAAATAAATAAATAAATATCTTTAGAGTCTCAAACAATATTTATCTATTGTTCCTCCAACTAAAATTTTGAGTTCTTTTGGCTGGAGTCGGGACAAACTGTTGTCCCATGGTGGGGAAATGGTTGGTGTGTGTCAGCTTCCATAACACGGACTTCATGTTTGGGGGGTTGGAATCCTGATGATGGTGGGGTTCTGGGCTGGCTTCATCTTCAGAACCAGCAGTGTGATTTGGGGCTCTAGATTAAGACTCTGGCTTGGGTGGCCACTCAAAGAGACCTCAACCTTTCCAATTTTGCTCTTTCCTGAGCAGACAGCTCCCATCCCCCAAACCAGGCCTTGCAGCACTGAAAGAATAGGAGAGGGCTGGTGATAGAACCAAAAGTTGGAGCAGATGTCCAGGTAGCCAGTCATGGTGCAGGGGTAGGGTAGTCAAGAGTCCGGGAAGAAAAAAGGTACAACATCAATGTTCAGCAGTTAAAGCCAGGGCAGAAGTGTGAGGAGCTAAGCCCTAAAAGCCAGGTGCCCAAAGACAGGTCTCTGAAGCAGGAGCAAGGTCTCAGGCTGTGTCAGAATATTTAAAAGGAGCAGTGTGCTAGAGATGGCATGTGCTTTTTATGTCCTGTGTGGCACGGGAGGATGCACATCTTCTCTGAGACAAACCTAAAGCCTAAACAGCAGCCCCCACCTGGACCTCCAGGTCTACAAGTTCCATAAAAGGAATTCATGGAGGTGGCTCTGGGCCACCCTCTTCAGTGCCAGAAACAACTCAGAGTACACACTCCACCCAGATGGCAGGGAGCAACTAGAAGCCTCATCCTGCTTCTCGGACCCCACACCCCTTCATTTACACTCTTGGAGAATTTGCCAGGAGATGGACTTTCCAAATAGAAGATGTACTGTTGAGAGAGATGGTTTCATAAAAAACCATTTACTCCACAGGGCTTCAGATGACAGTTAAGAGGCCACATTAGACTAGCATGTTTGGAAGTATTGCCTGGGAGTGATGCAGAGCTGATCTTGTCAGTGTGCAGGACTCCCACCAGGAACATCTTTCCTTGTCATCTCACACATTATTTTTTGCCTCTTCTCAATGTCAGAGTCTTGTCTGGTTCCTCCCAGACAAGAGGTCATATTTGATAATGGTCATATGGACATGACCATGTGGTGCAGAATGTCTCCACCAAGGTGATGAAGAAATTCTAGGAGACATGAGTACAAGTCTTGAGCAGTGTGTGTGTGTGTGTGTGCGTGCGCAATGGCAGGATAGGACAGCTGGATTCTGGCCCACATTATTCTGTGAGGATGGGTGACCTTGGGCACATCGCC